GCCTCCCGCAAGCTAGATCATTGTGTAATTAGGCATTTTACATACTGGAGCAGAAAAAAATACTCACTTTTTAATACAATTTTAATAACTCTTCACAACATCAGTCATGTGTATGAATAAGTGATTAGATTGTGATTAGTTTTGGTTAATATCATTAAACCATTTCCTGGTCCTCGAGTTTGCATGTGAAATTAAAAAAAAGCTAAGCACTGCTTGCAGTGAAAACAAAACGAATACATTAAATGTCAAAATTCAAGCCGTGCGGTGTTATCTCCTAAAACTTCCGATTGCTGCCAAATCGGTGCGGAAATGTCCCCAGTTCCCAAGTTCCCAGCCACTCATGGGTAACGAAACTGACGTGATAAAATGACGCTTTGCTGACCCCAGATCGATGTATAATCGGGCATTTTAGAAAAGGGAGTAGAAAAAATTATTTAGTAGTGTGTATAGTAAACAGTAATGTATAGTGACTCTGTTATTTTTGGACGAAATAAATGTTCAGTTTCGTTAAGATTTAACTTGTTTAATTTCAACATAATCGTAGTGTCGTCAGCAAAATGCAATATGTCAGCTTCCAGGACAGCATCTTATAAGTTATTTATAAATATCGGGAACTTTCATTAGAACAGTTCTGTTTTTTTTTTATTATTTATAAAATGTGTTTGCTTCTTTGCGCAGCAAAAAATAATTTTTCATTTACAGGAAAAGAAAAAAAAACAATTTCAGATATACACATCTCCTTGGAACGGACGAACTACCTCGCTGGTGAAGTAGAATTAAATTTGCTAGGTTAGTGACACTTGATCTCGTACTAAAAAATGGTGATGAATTAAATCAAATCGAAGAATTGACGGACGGTGTATGCGATCGTAACAGAGATCGAAGATCTTTGAATAGGTGAAAAGTAATGAGACTAGTATATAATTGGTTTCTAAATTTACAGAGATAAAATGCACTTTTCTCTTAACTAACTTTTCTCTTTAAATACTTATATATTAGTATATCAATTTTGTATTATTTTTTCTGCTCATACAATTTTATCAGTTGCCCGGAAGATTGCACACATTTGAAATAAATTTAAAGCCGGAAAAAATCTCTTTTTTATTGGAAGTAGAGCATCCCGATTCCTTAATAATTATCGGCATTAAATGGACTGGAAATGAATAAGTCAAAGAACAATAACATTTATAAAAAAAATAAGTAAATAGTTTGCGTCAATTCTCACTACAACTTTTTAGAAACATAGCAAATAGAAAAAAAATACGTCCACACATAGAAGATTTATCCGGATGTTCGAAAAATATTTCACACCAAAGTCCCCTTTACATCGTATATTAAATCTGTTTTAGCGGTGAATTAAGCAATGCTACGAATTACGTCCGGAAGAAATTATTGCTATTAAAAGACACTTTTCCATAAACTCTAACCCGGAAAGTGTTTGGTTTACGCAATCCTCCGTTCGCCGCAAAGACGGATGCGGGGCATCCTAGCCGAAATTATCGAAAATAAAAAGGGATGGGTATAGTTGCGGGCGTGTTCGGCACTTGAATCGGAACAGAGCTCACTTCATTGGTATGCATTGAGGATTTATACAGGCACGAAGCCAAAAACATTCATCAAGGTGGATTTAACTGAAACTCTGATTCATTGCGGGTTCTAATATATGTTCAGATTCAGCTTCGCGCACCGCTGAAAATTATTATTTACTGAAGCTGATTGCTTTAGCTTTAGCTTACGTTTTTATCAGAAATTTTGAAGTTTTCAAAAACTAACGAAATATCAAGATATTGCCCAGCATAGGGATGCTGGGGATGATGGGGGGCATGCATGTAATTGAAAAATGAAGGACCACTATGAGGAAACGTCATCAAAACGCGTCCTTATTGACACATCAAAGAAACTGGACTTTTCAACTTTGTATACTTTATTTTAGAATTATAGCACTTACAAGGACCATCAATAATCTTCTTTAATCGAATTCCTTTTCGTCCGTTACAGTTTACAGTTATCAGAGGCGGTGCGCTAAGAGGTACTACTGAATAAGGAAGGCTCTTTTAAGCAAAATCAATACAGTTAAAAATTTAATTTAAATAATATTTTTTCACCATTTTCCAAATACGATGGTATGAATCAGCAATATTTCGGATATGTTTCAACTTCTTAAAAAAATAACTAGCCTTTGAAATAGAATTTAATGCTATAGAATAAAATTATTAAATTTGAAAACGTCTAAAAATATTTGGTAGTTTTGGAAAATCATGCAACTTAAGAGATAAAAAGTCTATTCAACCCAAATAAAATAAAATTACTTCTTTTTTGGAAAAATTTATAGCTATTTTAGAATCCCTATATATAAGGTGACGTTATATACACTGGCGTCCACAAAGCGTTTGACCATATAGATCATAACTTACTATTAGAAAAAGCGTCTCAAAAATTTGATTTCTCCGATTCGCTGATTTCAGTGTTGAGGTACCATCTAGTGAGTTGGGATTGAGGGGTTTAGGTCAGTTCCTTATGTTCCAACTTCTGGTGTGCTTGGACCACTTCTGTTCAAGTTATTGGCGATCTCATATTGATCATCTGCGACAAGCTTGCCTTTGCGGATGACATAAAACTACATCACTCGCCTCAAAACCGGTCCGGACTGCATGACTCTCCAGAAAAACATCAATATTGTCAGTCAGTGATGTACTACAAATAAATTGCATCTTAACATCAGCAAGCGTAATGTGGTTTATTATCACCGCACAAAAACTTCTAAAGTCTTTAATTACAATATGGATAGTATTATCCTGACCAGACTTGGTACTGTAAAGAATCAGGGCATTCTATTTGACCAGACGTCATCTTTTGTACCTTACATTATTAAAATAGTTTTTAGTGCGATCCAAATTTTAGGATTGTTAATAAGAAATTGCATTGCATTGTTATTTAACTGATTACTGAAGTATCTAATATTCAGGAGTAAGGTTTCTATTCTGAGAGGGGATCATGATCTTCTGCTGGGAAGGTTCGCTGACCTGCCTCTGAGCTTGCGTAGAGACTTGCAATTTCTTTCATTTCTGTACAAGTTAGTTCATAAGGACTCGCGGCCTGAATCAACTTTCTCACCCCAGTTACCCAGGTCCAATGTCCATTTTCAAACCCCTAATTTACAATAACGTGTGTTACCTTCAACAAACTATCATCGCACTTTGATTTATATTATTTTATATCCTTTTCTTTCTCTTTTTTTTCTTTTATTTATAAGATTAGTAGATTTAAGATTAGTTTTTACGTCACCTGTGTATATATATTGTAGGATTAATATGTAATATGATATAATAATATAATATTATTATAAATAATAATATAATTATACAAGTGCTATTATTATTATTATTATTATTGTTGTTATTATTACTCCTGTGACAATAAAAAACTGTGTCAACGATTCTACTTAACTGTAGGACAATATCAATCAAATAATTAACCAAATATGCCTAGGTGTCCCAATTAAACAAAACAATAAAATCGAGCACAAAGGTTTTGCAAAACATTCATAATAACCCATACCCACACATAATTGGAAGCTTATCTCGTAAACTCTCTTATGTCTAGATTTTTTAACTCATCTCCTGACAGCTAGCAACCCCCATTTAACAAATAAATAAATAATAATAAATTTCAAAATAATAAATTTAACAATAAATAAAAAAATAAAAAAAAGAGTTATTTAAATAGCAGGATAGTTCGTTTGTCAATAAAACCATACCAGCAAAAAATAATGATGAAAATATTTAGATATTTATTTAAGCGATCAAGACTGCTTCAGTTGATTAAATTTCTCTAATTCAAGATCTTTTGTACTATATATATGTTATCGTCATACATTTATGGCGAAAGTAAAAAAAGAAAATGCGGACCAAAAATACCCCACCATTCCCCTAGGTTGGCCAAAATTCCGCCGAAATTGTGTAATAGCTTCCGCAGCAATGTATCACGGTTCCATTCAATTTGACTGTCCGGGAAAAAGAAAAATGTGCACCTTAATTTTGAACTGGACAAAACCGATCTGATTCAGCGCTGTCAAAGGTCATATTGGCACTGGTCCTAGGACTGATTTTAAGGTGTGTTTCGCGGGAATAATGTCAGATAAAATATGCGACTGGGTTAGGGGTAAGCTATTAGTCCTTATTTGAAATATATTTAATTGAAAGATGTGTGCATACTCTGCCAAAAAGCTATAATATTCATTTAATTTACCAAAATTTAAATACTTAAGCTAGCGAAAGAATTGCAGTAGAAAGCACAACCCACCTTTGCGGTTTGTAAACAAATAATACTTTTTCTCTGGTACATCCCAATTTCCGCTTTTCAAAAACGATGAAAAAAATGTAAATTTTAAACTCGTAGCACTAATCGCTAATTTTGATTTTTCAAGGAAAATTCCACAATACTATTTACAAAATTTAAGCTCTAAAGATGCCAAGAGGATGATTGACGAAACGTCAGCAAGTAATATTGATCAACAACGGGAGCAGCAGAAATACAGAAGAATTGTAAATAGTATTTAATTTTCACATATAGTGATTCAGATTAAGCTAGTGCTATTAAAATTTATAGAAATCTAACAAAAGGAGGTTATATAAATTTAATATCAATATCAAGAAACAGCGTTGCAAAGTAACAAGTTAGTGTCAAATAACTGCTAATAAGAGCCTTAAACAAAACCTTCCATGGGCTGCTTTACCCTGTTATATGCTAAGCGGATACATTTTCTGCAGAGGCTTGTGAAAATAAGGAAGCATTTATTAGCTTGTAACATTCGAAGAAAGATGCGGCATATCTGTGAGGAGATTTTACAATTTAAATATTTTTTCTGGTTCACATACGGAAGTGAATATTATATTTTCTTAAAATAATTTTCAACCGCATGAGATATCAATTTCAAAAAGAAACGCTGGCTTAGAACATGACTTTTATTAAAATAAATTACAGTCACACACAGACGACAGATAAGGTAAACAGCGTATATTACACAAAAGATATACGAAGAAGGAAATATTGAGCAACAAATAAGCAACAAAACTTTTCAGTAATAATATAAAACCAAAAATAAAAACAAACAATATAATAATATCTAGATAAACAGTATACATTTTATCCTTAGAGGCTATATGAAAATTTTACAGCATATTTACAAATTCTTTTAAACAATTTTTAATAAGAATACAGGGCGTGCGACTATCTAAAAAGGAATCCAAATAGATAAAACCAAATTGACGAATATTATTTGGATTCTGTGATCAGTATTGGAACGCCCTGTATTTGAGTCAAGTTGAAGCCAATCACACTGGTGTATGCAAGGTTCACGTTCCACTCTTATATATCGATAACTAATTTATAAAAAACATTACGTATACATTATGTTGTACTTTCGTTTCAAAGAATCGAAACAAGAAAAACATCTTAAAATTATAAATTAGAATATTTGGGTACTTTGGGATTTACTTTAACGTTTAAAATAAAAACACAAAAATCAGGAGTTTAATTTCGGTTTTCGCTTAAATTGAACAAAAAATAAACCCGATAAGCACCACTCAATACTTAAGCTAAGCTTAGCTAATTTTTGAAGGTACATTTATACGCGTTTATACTTTCATAAATTCATCAAGAGGTTATTTTCGATTTTATGTACAACTATCTTACAAAATATTGTTGTTAAATTTGAAATTAGTAAAGCGGTTTTTGTGGTGAGTAAAATAGATTGTATTTACAGTTTGCAAAGGTCCAGTGTGGCTGGGAACGCACTCGGCAGATTGGCTACGGAGAAAAGAAATTTCGATTCAATTTTTGTCTTTAAATACAATTTCAGAAGCAATATTTATTTTATCAAATATCATTAATAATATCATCATACAACACTTTTGTCTATTTTAACCAATCCACCACAGTTAATCATGAAATCTACGTTCCATTACGATTCTATTCTAACTACGGGGAGAAATGAAAAGCGGACTCTTAATTTACAGCTACTCGAAAACTATGGCAGAATATTAGAAAATCTTAACGAAAAATTTCTAAGAAAACCCCCTGACAGAAACCATTTTTGTTGAGATCTATAACGTCGCAAAATATTAAAACCTCACATATACTATGCACATTACTAGTTTGTGATTTAACTACTATTTATTAACTGGGAGACATTCTAATTTTTTTATATTGCACATAAATATCGTGCCTAAAATCATCACTTTTCCTATAATGCGTCCAAATAAAACTGTAACCTTATAACACAATTATTTAATAGTAGGGCACTTTCTTATCTACAGCTTCACAATGCTTAACATCGAATTTGAATATCAACGCAATAGTTGGGTGTGTTTCTTGTTTGTTGGTCTGTTTTGATTGAAAATACAAAAAGTAATGTTGAAATTTGTTACAATATTTACCTTGCAGAAGACATATTTACAATTTTAAAGTAATTTATAATCAGTCACTGAGTGCGAATGTTTTATGATACAGTATGTTCTTAGGTCTATCATAGGAGTAAGTTTTACGTATATCGTTTGAATTTTGGACTTTTATGGCACGGTAACCAAAGTTGCCAAATGTTTTGCCACAGTTGCGATATGTTTAGAAACGCTGCCCATTTTATCGATTCAACAAACCCAATTCGTTTTATTGCACATTTAGAATAAAAATAAAATAAATATCCGTTACGCCTTTTATACAGTTAACACTAAAAAAAAAATAGTCGTAAAATACACAGAGTTTCACCATATCGACCTAGGATTGTACATTTTTATTTCACTTTAAATAATAACACCGTTCGAAAAATATTTCCTCGCTATCTTTTTTAAATTTACTTTGGATTATAAATATTTTATACACTAAATATATTAATGTTATAAACTATAAGTAAAAAGTATACACATTTTCACAGTGGATTGGAGTAAGCCCAAATTTTGGTAGTAGTACGTATTTTCGATTTTATTCCTATTACGGAAGGGCAAGTCCGGTGCTGGCAGATGACGCTACGTTCGGTATCCGGGTGCTTGAGGCTTGCCTTGCGACTCTGGTTCTGCAATGATTTTGGAAAAAATAATTAAATATTTGTCAACAAAAGAAAAAAACACAATGTTATTGACGTATTTGTTTAATTTCAATTTCTGCGATTTTATGAGAGTCTAGGTTTTATTTCGTAAATACCGATTCGGTTTTGAGGAGCAGGATCTATTGGAAATAGGAAACACCTTTATGAAATGGTCGTCTTTTTCTTATAACAAGAAAATAATTTGGTTTTCACGGGAGGCACAATATTATTAGTAAACTTATTTTTATACGAAATACACATAAGAACAATTTCACGAAAAAACAAAATATAAATACATCCATCCGAATACATTTTGTATGTACTTTAAAAATCAATTAAAAAAGTTACAACACACGATATACTACTTATACAAATCGACGCAGGAGAATGGTCAAAAATTGACCTTATTCTATTTCATCCATTATATATTATATACATGTTTCTCATTTTCTTTGGGCTGATTATGACACAAAGCTTAAACACTTTTTCGGACTTTGACAATAATTTCTTGCTACTTTTCAGAGAAAAAATTTTCAAGTCAAATTTTAAAGAAAAACTTTTAAAGTTTCACATTTTTTCCAAGCAAAAACATAATATTAAATTATCAAAAATTGTGCCAAAATTCAGTTTCTAATTGTAGATGCTCTATATAATAAAAAACATATTTCCATGTCTGCTCGAATATTCTCATATGTCTCAGGTGTGTTCAGTACCATGTACACTGTATAATAAAATAAAACAGGTATGAATTTTATTTTATAGTTTTTTTTTATTTAGTAATATCCAATAAAGAAACGGAACTTTTGCAGCTATTGGAATAAATAAGAGAAAACAGTTATAGAACCACAATAAATTTCAAAATTAAAAAATGGTTAGAACACTCAAGTGAATATATTTTTTTAAATTTTTTAAATTTTTTATCTAATTCAAATATTAAATGAAATAGATTCAAAATCAAATTTTAGAACTCTAAATACATAACTAAATTAAACTATTCTGCACAAATAATTTATGTGGTAGAAAATTATTTTCTCTTTGTGTTCACATTTTGAAAGGTTAATTTCCAGTAATTCATAAAACTAATCACAAACACAATATCATGTGGAAACAAAGTAAAATGTGAAAAATCTGTCTGGCAAAAATATAAATTGCTGAAATTGCATTGACAGGCAAGCCTCAAGCTTCCTGTCCGAGAAATACTACAATCCACGAAACTCACAAGGGAACATCTCATGCTTAAATGTATTTTTTTTCAGTTAATGATTAAACAAACAAATAAAAACTGCGTTGAATTGGATTGAACGTATTTAAACCACGATATATTGATTGGCATTACCGTAAAACAAAGAAAAAATAAACGTCACATACTCGGCCGTGAAAATCAGTGAACAAGAAAATGCATCACGGGTAGGGAGAATCGAGTTCAATACAAACGAACACATATACATATACGGTTGTTTAATGGTGCGACAAATTTCATACGGCGACGTATTATAAGTCAGAATAAATATTTCCAGACATGATGTAACAGAAATACTGGCGGCATCGCGGGCAAACAACTTGGTGAGGCGGTTCAAGAAGAAGAATAGAAGCCAGATAAATTTATAAAACTCTGATTTATGAACGCTTGTATCGTCTGGGTTGTAAATCGCTAAAGAAATTTATTCTGATCTCGAGACGCGGATTTTTAGATTTTCTGACGGTTTTTGCAAGACGAATGTTTTGGCAGAACGGTTTCTTTATAATGTCATTCGCTTTGGTTTTATTTGTCTCCGCGTCTACATTGTAGTTGTAAAATATCTCGCTCGATTTTGATACGCTCAACAAGGGCTCAAGTCGTTGCTTGAGTCACGAACTTTGAACGTTTTATTCACGTCGGTAACGACTAGTTGGTTGTGGGTCTGTAAATTCAGTATTAAAAATGTTTCTAAAAAACATATATTTTAAAAGAAAAGACAGTAATTAATTTTTTGTACTCCCTTCTGTAAAATACCTAATTAGACACCGATCTAGCATGCGCAAAATGTCATTTTACTTCATCAGTTTCGTTCGAGACACTTCGGACATTTCCGGGATATTACCGGACCGGTTAGGGTGCAATTCGATGGTTTCGGAAATATTAACGCGCGGCTTCAATTTTGATGTTTGCCAATTCTGACGGTCATGTCAGTGAATGTATTCGTGTCGTTTTGCTAAAATGTACCCAAAAAGTAACGGTCATAAAGAAACTACGTTTGGTAGAATTAACAAGTTTGTTAAACTTGTTAAGTCCCTCGTTTACCGCAATCAATGTTTAACATAGTACAATAAGAATAAGTATTATGTCGAATAAAAAAAATTAACCAATTTTTTTAAAGTGTCTGTCGTGTTTCGGTAGTTTCAATCATTACCATATGGTCAGACATCGAATTATCCTTTTGCTGTACTCCATTTTCACCGTGCAGTTTCAAATTTTCCTTTGCATAATTACGAAAATTTATCTGCAAAAAGTTCATTAGCATTTTTTGTTCTGCGTTCGAATTTCCTAGAATTATGTTAAACCTACTGAAACTTCGTCTCTATTCAAATAGTAAAAAAAAGGTCTATCACCTTCAAAGAAAAATTTCCAATAACTTTTGTCTCATACAGACGAATATTTGTGTGCGTGACTGTTTGCAATGTACGTACAAGGCACTAACTAACAAAGCAGTGTTATCTTGTTATGTTCAATGAACCAAAATCGTTCATATTCCGTAAAACTTCAAATTATTTTCTTCGTAAGTAACTGGGTCATTGACTACTTAAACACTACTAATAATCTATATAGCGTCAATTTATTTATAATCAAAACTAACTGACGCTCTCTAGACGCACGCTTCATTTCCTGCGTACACAAGTATCCTAGAACGCCCAATATGTGAAAAGAATTGTGATTCGGTCGAGGTTTTCTAACATTATTTTCGGTGTTGCTAGTCAGATTCAAGTAGTGAAATTAGCAACACATTAATAAACATCGATTTTTTCCCTCAAACGAATAGAGTATATTTCCTAGAAATGTCCGTCTTTATAAGGAACTGACAACAACCTAAAACAACTGACTAATTATTATTTATGGATTGTAATTGTTACAAAATAGATTAGTAGGAAACAAAAGTTCTGCCGTCTCAATGTAACAACAGCACAAAATATTTTCGAGTCCACAAAAATTTCCAAAGCAATAAATTTCGTAATTCATCGATTTGAAATCAGTTCTTTCGGATCGTAAATGCAAAACCAACTTTTCGAATAATTCACATCGTAATAAATCACGCCGACCAGTTTTGTCAAAAAATATATATCGGAGTTCGATAGAAGTTCGAAATTTTCTCGCAAGACTTAACCCCGGCAAAATATAGTACGCATTTGTTATGTATAAACACGCACACGGACCATTTGCGTTTGAAAGCTTTATTTTTTAAAAATAAGGTTCAGAAAATAAAAGGTTTGATTCAGATTTCAAAGTTTTGGGGCATGAAAAGAAGTAGTCATATGGAAAAAACGGTGTAGTAGAAATGTTCGACCGCTGTGTTCCCCTTTCAATTCATTTAAAATGAAATGTTAAACCAGCAGAGCTTCTGAATTATTTTTAAAACGATTCAATTCAAATTTAATATTCTCCAAAGTATTGATTTTCCTTGAACATTGACTGACTTTAGTTCGACTTACATACCAGTTTGTTTTGGTATCCAAATTATTACAACGATTTTTTTTGTTCCAATATCCTCCAATTCTTAATATTTTCTAATTTTATAATAACAAGAATATCCGCTTCGAAACTTATGGAAAGGAAGAGTGCAGCTTGCTTCATGTTATTTAGTAATTTTTGATAAAGCGGCATAAGTGGTGTTTTCTGTCCTCGCCATCTGCAGAAAGGAAACCTGCAGTACTTTTAGATATCTTAAGGAATCCCTTTTAAGCTGCAAAACATTCTATGTATGTAAAATAAAAAAAAATCGTCAGAATTTAGTAGAATTTTTTTGACATGTATTAAACACATTTCGTAAAGGATTGTACTTGCTTCTGTAGCCACTGCAGTGCGGGCTCTAGAATTTTAGAGACCGATGCAGAAGAGTAATAGGTCCTTCTCGAACAAGCATTACAAAAACATAACTATAAGTAAAATTTTTATAGCAATGGTCAAATTTAGAAAAGGAAAATCCAAAAAATTATCAAATATAAATTGAAGAATTTGAAATGAAATCTTCTTCCAGGCAAATACGTAAATTTATGTCCCTAAAATTTACAAAATTATGGTGCTCTTATGCGGAAACAACCCGATGCGATGCATCTTTTGAGTCGATCCGGTCACTAACTAAATAAAAACCTCAAGTGCGAATTTAAAATAAAACCCTGTACGTTTCTGCTACCTCCCGAGTTTAAAAGTTAGAAAAAATTGCATCGCAACATTTCGGGAGCCTAAACGGCTCTAATTAATTATTATAATTTATTAAACGATGAACAATTTCGAAAGCCGCGATCTTTTCCTGGAAGCATTCTCTCACAACCGGCTAGTTAAACAATTTACGATACCTGGAAGTGTAAATTTAGAATGTTGCATCAATCTCTATTAATATTAATCGTGTGCAAACCTGCGAGTGCGAGCGTCAATAGTAAACAAAACACGGCACGGCACGTATGGGCCTTTTTAGTAGTATACGTGGTCGATGCCGTTTATCGATATCGATGATTAATCATTTTAATGGGATGTACGGTACCGCGCTGTTCTTTTTCGGCATTATTTGCACTCGTCGCGACATTCTTTTGACAGTTCCCGCTTTTAAAAAAATTAATTAATATTAATACGCTTATTCTCCACAGTGACAAAAATGTACTACAAAACGAAACGTTTAAAAAGCCAATATATAGTTTTTTAATTAAACATATGCAGCGACATTCTTTTGACAGTTGTCCATTACAACTTCGGTTCGTGCTTTTAAAAAAATCAATTTGCTTAAAATAATGAATACATT